CAAGAACACAGGATCGCAGGTTACAAGAGAAATCCCACTAGCTCAGCTCACCCATTCCCCGAGATTTTGTTGGCTTTAACAGCGTGACTGTGCACCTTGCTCCAAACTCCAGCCCCACTCCCCCACAACTCTTTGCGTAAAAGGAAAAGCCACCTCTTTTCAGTGCCAAATGCCTCCATCCCTAATCTCCACTCTCGTCCACCCTCGGGGCTGTGTTACACTTTTTGCAAAATCAGCCAGGTAACGATTTGCAAGATGTGGAAGACAAATTAGTGCTCACAGCCTCCGGTTCAGAACTGACAAGGTCCTCTCAGAGGCCTGCATTCGGAATATCTCAGTCCCTGTCCAGAATGTGCAGGTAAAGCCTTGCAAGAGGCTGGAGTCCAGGAGGCAGGTCCGACGTCTGGTCTCAGCGCTGCCCCCAGCTGGCAGGAGAGCGTCTGCCCCCCTGGATAGGAAGGGGTGCTGAAATGGGCTGGTGGGGCACGGATGCCAATTTCTCAGGCTAATTACAAATTCAGCAGCCGAGGCGCAACAGGAGAGGAGGAGGGGCTCATTCCCTTTTCAATCATTTAACAACACTCCATTCAGTTTCCAACGTCACCGTTCCAAAAGACACCTCCTCTAGAAACCGGCTGTCCTGTTGAGTCTGCGGACAGAGAGACTCCAGCAGGCGTACAGACCTGTAGGCCACATTCTTGCCTGATAAGATGCACAGCTGGTATTTATACAGGGGGAATATGAAATGATTAACTCCGTCAAGGTCACAACAGGTTGAGCAGGCCCCTATCAGAATTCCAGGACAGAGACGCACCTCTGCATCGAAAAGATTTAGTTTTTCTAGTCACAATCCTCAAAGGTGCTGACACAAGCAGTGCAGCGGACTTCCAGGCACAACGGTGCAACACCAACCCAAGGACGCAGGTGGAAACTACATAGAAGTGCATTTAAAACCAAACGCACTTTGCACACAGGGTTGTGGGAGCATGCAACAAGCTACCCAGGGTTACTGTTGAAGCCGATACCCTGGGTACTTTCAAGAAACTGTTTATTCAGCAAAGTACTTCCCCGCTGTGTGCACTACTGCTTAGGGTTAGGGTTAGAGTAGGTTTAGGGACTCATGCAAGAGTTGTCAGCTGCTGAATCCCAGGGGTTCACACTCCTACCACACTGTGCAGAGTGCTCACCACTGTACGCCAGAGCTCTCTTTCCCTGCTGCAGGAAACCGCTGGCTACACTTTCCTTTCCCATGCAGAGTGGTGATCAGGTAACTGAGAGCACACACAAACACTGAGGTGTGACGTTATCACTGTGCGTTTAGTAGGCCAGGTAGACAAAGCTCGCCATTCACAGGCAGGGAAATGCCATCCTGTTCTTTTGTTTTACACGACTAACCCAAATCCAGACGGGATTTCAACTAGAAGCTCAAATCCCACTATCATCTGGATCCTCTTTAGTTTTCCCATCTGCTTACTGCAAACATTGTGTGCAAAGTCACAATCTAAAAACACTAAGTATATGCTTTATATAAACATATATGTATACTAACTGCATGCTACTGTGATCCAGAGCCAGCAAGATCTTCTATACTACCAGGCCCTCTGGAGGAGTGAGACAGGGCACTAACAGTCTTTCCAATGTCTGGAAAGATGGGAGCAAGCTAAGGGACCAGTCTTGCAATTATAATATCTTCTCCTGGTGCAGAACACATGAACATCAGCCTTCTCTACAGGCAAGCCTCCAGTCACCGCCGCCCCAGCATCCCGACAAGCTTCCAGACGGACTCTCACACTAATCCCCACCCCCCACTAATCCTCCTACTGCTCCAGGACAGCCCTGGCAGGGTGGAGGAACAATGGAGCTGGAGAGAGCAGGGAGCACAGCACAGCAACACATCTGCACAGACACCCGACAGCAGAGGGAGAGACTGGGAGTTTTGACCTGGCAGTGAAGGCACCGAGGGAGAAGGCACTCAGGGC